GTCAATGAGCAACTCGATAAACAAGAAGGTAATAGTAGGTTAAAATAATAACCAAGGAAATGAAGCGTCAGGGATGTTTCCTTCCCTGTACAAACTAAAGAGAACGTCTTAGCATCTGTCCCTGAGTTAGCGTGCAGACACTCACACCTCGTGTAAATTACTTCAACCACCGTGGAAGACAGTGTGGCGATTCCTCAAGGATCTAGAACCAGAAATACCATTAGACCCAGCAATGCCATTACTGGGTATATACCCAAAGGATTATAAATCATTCTACTATAAAGACACATGCACACGTATGTTTCCTGCAGCACTATTCACAATAACAAAGTCTTGCAACCAACCGAAATGCCCATCAATGATAGAAAACGTGGCACACAGACACCATGGAATACTATGCAGCCACAAAAAAGCATGAGTTCATGTCCTTTGCAGGGACATGGATGAAGCTGGAAACCATCCTTCTCAGCAAACTCACACAGGAACAGAAAACCAAACACCGCATGTTCTCACGCGTAAGTGGGAGCTGAACAATGAGATCACATGGACACAGGGAGGGGAACATCACACACCGGGGCCTGTCAGGGGCTGGGGGGCAGGGGAGGGAGAGCCTTAGGACACATACCTAATGTAGACGACGGGATGATGGGGCAGCAGACCACCATGGCACGTGTATACCTGTGTAACAAACCTGCACGTTCTGCACCTGTGCCCCAGAACTTATAATAAAAAAGGAAGAAACTCACACCTGTACCCTATGGAATCCTCTGGCAGAAGACCTCGATGTGGGAGAGGGAGGGACAGAACTCTGACCCCTGTTCCTTGCTCTAAACTTCTTCTGGAGGGTCCTGGAGGAGGTCCTGCCCATGGGCCGCATCCAGCGTGCTTTTACCGCCGACCCCAAGTCTTCAGACAAAGCTCCACGTCCTGAACCAACCGCAAGTCCAAAAGCCTTTGAATCCACCTTGTTCCTGTTAGCAACCCCCCCCCCCGCCCAGCTTGAAGATAGCTTTTTTTTTTTTTTGAGACGGAGTTTCACTCTTGTTGCCCAGGCTGGACTGCAGTGGCGTGATCTTAACTCACGGCAACCTCTGCCTCCCGGGTTCAAGTGATTCTCCTGCCTCAGCCTCCCGAGTAGCTGGGATTACAGGAACCTGACACCACGCCCGGGTACTTCTTTGTATTTTTAGTCGAGACAGGATTTCACAGGGTTAGCCAGGCTGGTCTCGAACTACTGCCCTCAGGTGATCCGCCCGCCTCGGCCTCCCAAACTGCTGGAATTACAGTCGTGAGTCACTGCGCCCAGTCCCAGATACCACTTTTTAGGCCAAATCAACGCATAACTTCCATGTATTGATTTGTGACTGTTGATGAAGAGTCAAACTCTGTAAAATGTTTGAAGAGATTGACTCTGAGCCAAATATGAGTGACCATAGCCTGTGACACAGCCCTCAGGAGGTCCTGAGAACATGTGTCTGGTCGGGGCACAGCTTCATTTTAATATTTTAGGGAGGCATAAGACATCAATCAAATGCATTTCAGAAAGAAATTGGTTTGGTTGAGAAAGGCGGGACAACTCAACCTCGGGGCTGCCAGGCTTTAGGTAAGTTTAAATATGTTCTGGTTGACAACTGGTTGAGTTTATCTGAAGACCTGGAATCAACAGAAAAGAAATGTCCAGGTGGAGAAGAGAGAGTAGGTTGTAAACTTTCTTATCAGGACCTAAAAGGGTGCCTGTCTTAGTTGATTATGTCCCAGATCTAGGAAGG